TATATATATATATATATATATGTACCATGTATACGTACCATGTATGTTTATTAAAAATTGTATACAAGTTTCGGTTATCAATTATTTGACAGTATATGATTTGCTGAGATAAACACGAAACTTTATTATGCTATCCTTCGTTGGATCCGCTTGCCAACTTCTCAGGTAAACACTTAGTAATCGTCGGTTCGATTAGTTTCCACACTTCGGCCAACTATAAACAAACATTTGCATCAGCAATCTCTACCGGTTTGCGATTCCAGAGATTTATTATATGCAAATGTCTTGATAGTAAAGATGGTTTCTTAGGATATATTTTTGTAAGAGAATATAATATCGTGTAGTATAAATATAACGAAGCTGTACATCAAAGAAAGTATACATGATACAAGAACGAAACTAGTACGAATTTTAAAAAGAATACTATCCAACAACTCACCGAAATCTCTGCGTTTGTTTGAAAAATGAATAAATTCATTAATCAGTAAACTATATAATATTGAAAATACCGCGAGCTGGTGATGGCTTACCTCGGAATGTCCACGGATTTGTACGCTGACGAGACTTTGTAGCACAGTGGCGAGTATCTCTAGATGTGCGTGAACGAGCTGCGTCTCCATGTGCAGGCAAAGCAGCGAGAAGCAATTTCTCAGCTCGACGTTGGCGATCACCGATTCCTGGGAGACCATCTTGTTCTCAAGGTACTCGACAGTATCAGCCTGAATATACGATAAAATCGCATACAATCTTTTCGAAATGAGTATGCGTACGGTTCGCACCGCGCGTTCGCCAACTATGACGAATTACGTAAAACCCGCATGAAGTTAAATTTATTATTTACAATAACGAGTCTCCCCGCGCTTTCTGATTGTACTACTTGTCTTTAAATTGATGGCGAGTAATTATATGATTGCGACAATGCGATTGCTGGTTAAATTATACCTTTCATGCGGATGAGTCACAGTTTACTGCTAATAAATCTTAAATAGGTATACGTACATCGGTTCCGCGAATAACGCCTTGCATCTGCCGCTTCTTGAGAGATAACATTGTAGACAGGGCACGTTGATGATCGGCGTTGACGCCTCGCTCGTGTCTCTCGCACAACATTCTGTGTGCGACTAAAATATCGAGTAGAAGATTCAACCTCTCGCAAATCATGGTCTCCTCTCTGACAGCTTGTTGAAGAGCTCTGCTCGATAGCAGGTTGAATTCTCTAGAATATTGTATTTTTAACTTTGTTTATTCTATATTTTATTTAAACGCAATCGAGAGTTTTATTAATCGAACAAAATTAACCGTAAAATTAAACACGTGATAATAAATATAGAAAAAAGAATTTTTCAGATAAGATTTCGGCCCTCTGTGAAATTTATCAAAATTACCGAACGATCTATTAATCACAGAATTGTTATGCATCGTTTAATTTTATCTATTTGTATGACTTTTGTTCCCACGTATATAAAGGTGTTATTTATTTTCACGATAAAACTATAAAAAAAAAACACAAGTAGCTGTAATCTTATTCTTAGAATCTTTTAAAATACAGAAGTTAAAAAAATAAAATAAACGACCACAATCACGTGACAATCAACGTGAACTCTCAAGTACGATTCACGTTATCGATATTTAATTCTTACTTTGAGATTACGTGAAAGCCCTTCTTCATGTCTTGCCAAAGGATGGAGCCGCCGGTGATCCAAGTACCGGTGCCGTGCTGTTCCGCCGCTAAAGTGCTCAGCTGAGTGCCGAGCTCGGCCATGTCCGAGGCGTAACTGTGCGATCTGATTGCCAGATTGTCGGCGATGTGCTTCAACCGCGAGATCCCGAGGAGTATAACGCGTATTTGATCGCGGCTGTTCGCGAACTCGGTTAGCGTCTCGGGTGGCATCAGTTCCTTCGCTTTGGACGACAGTTCCGACGTCGCGAACTCGTCCGGCACGCGTTTAAATACCTCGCGGATCTTATGCTGCGTCTCATCGCCGGTGAATGTGAAGAAGAATTGTACGATCGGGTCCCCGCTCACCACCGGATGGCGAGCGATCAGCGTAAGAAATCGCAATAGAGAACGCCGCCTTTCCTCGAGAAATTGCGAGTCCGCTATATATATAAAGGAGGTGAAATGAAAAACGAGTTCCTCGAAAATATCTTCCGTTCGTTATATTAATTATAATATTATAACATCATGATATTATACGAGAACATATACGCATTTTTCGTATCGTATTCAACGAGTACGCATATGTATATGTATGTATTCACCTCCCACGATCTTCTTTGGTGGTAATTTGGGTATCAATCTATAAGGAAACCGTGCCAAAAGGAGATCGTACAGCGACACGAAGTCATTATAACGTCTGTAGACCACGGAATTGAACCTCTAAAAAACAAGAAATACTCCATGTTATTAGGTTACATTGTTCGTCGCGATATGATCCTTTTATATTATTACAAATTTGAACCTGGCTTTATTATAACGTTCTTAGCCTTTTACTACATTCCTATATTTATTTAAACAAATACACATACAGATACATGCGCGCGAACTCTGGTAGTACCTTACTAGTGACTTGATATTCCACGTGCTTCAGGAAGATACCCTTTTTCTCGGGAACGAGGTTGACCTCGATTGTGTCGAGATTACAAATGTCTGAGTAAGTGTGACTCAGCTTGGCTGGATTGCCTCTGTGCAGCCTCTGCGCCAGTAACGTTACTTCCGACAGATCACCAAGGACGGGCACGGGTAATTCTGCACATAAGAAGATCCTCTCAAGCGAAGGACGCATTTTTTGACAGTTGTCGACCGGTCGTATTCAATGGAGAGATGACAATTACACAATTACGAAGCAGCAATAAAATTTGATTGAAATATATTAAGTTTAACGAACTCGAGGGTGACTAAATGTTCTGGATTTCAAAGAGATGTCTTCTTCTCTGATCTCGGATGTTTGCATGTATTTCTTCATATTTGATTTTTTATGTTTATAAATTCATAAATTTATCGATAAATTTATAAATCCGCTTTACATTCATAAATCCAATGTATCCATACACTTAAATAAATAAATGCACATGTTTCACTTTGTACATGTGTCATTTTGTTTAAGTAAAATTTATTAAAAATAATTTAAGAATATAAATTAAAAGAAAAAATTAAAATATTCTTTAACAATATTTATTTATTTTTATGTCGTGAGAGAATATTTTTTATTGTAGACATATTAGTTTTATCACTTTTTAAATACTATAGAAATATGTCCTAGCTTCTTCCATTGTCATTTCAATTGTGCAAAAGATATAATTACTATAAAATATTATAATGGATTAATAATTTCTGCACTGAATAGACTCAATATCCAGTCACATTCGTCTATTTTGTAATGCCGTTACTACTCTTGAGAGCCGATATATAAAACCAAAATTGGAGTAACGAATTCGACACACGTAAAAAAATAGGGGTTAGTTTACAGTCTAAAATTATTTTTTTCTTTTTCTGTGTCCTTTCCAATATGTACTACTTCAGAGGAGAGCGAGATCTCACGGCATTATTATTCCTTTGCCGTGGTAAATAATCATTGTCGTTGCAACCTCGATAACGAAAGAGTCTCCTGACCTCGCGATACCTTGCTACGTACAGCGACGCTTATTACGTTCCCATAGTTTTACCATTCACTATAATAAAGTCGTTTTTCTTCTACGCATTTATAATTTGATGTATAATGAGAACGAACAATATTATTTCAAAACAAAGAAAAGAAGTTTTCTCCAAACCATGAAACTGGTCGAGCTATTGAATTCTATTAAAATTTTTTTGCTGTGTGGTACAAGACAATGTCCCGAAAAATGTGAATATAATTTAGTAAGAGTATGATTATCAATAATAATAAACAGCAATTTATATAAAGTTTTATTCTTTTCCAGATAGATTAGGGGACACGCGTATGTATAAGTAAGAATACAATTTTATTAACACAAAAACACACGCATATGAAATAATATAAATTAATTCAAATTAAATATGCAGATCATGATAAATAATCGTATTTCATTTCTTTATTAATAATAAAGTAAAAAGTAATATACCTATATCACATGCAGTAACGTCCGACATAATATATTCTAACGGGAAGTTGCAGCGTTATTTCTTGAGTCGCGATAGAGTACGGACATACGGATAACTTTCTAACGATAAGCAAAACGGCAATAATTTTGCTGGTCAATGACTCCTGTAATGCATACAGGTCTCTTGATATGTTAGCGAGGCACATTCGTGCATTATCTAAGCACCTGTCCGATAATGGATTTATTCAAGACCTACTTTCTCAGCGCAATCTATACGGACCATGTTAACGGCACAAAAGATCGTATATGGCCTGTCTTATTTGCAGAGTAAATTACATATTTAAGCTATAAAAAATATAAGAACACCGTTGTAAAAAAATGTTGAATTAAATTCAATACAAACGCGTAATTTTTCTCGTTCGGCGAAACGTTCATTATCTCCGCTTATAATCAATGTTCAATTATTGTTATTAACGTTCGTTATTATCTGTCGATATTTACAGTCCACATTTCTTCTCAACCAAAAAGGCATATAATGTCAGGAATATAGATAATCAGTATAATCAGTTATTATATCCGAAAAATATTTTTTGATAAAAATACATTCTTAAGAAATCTTTTTCTGGAATCCTAAAAATTATATTTTTATTTCTTTTTCGTACCGTTTTGCTCACAGAACTTTCTTAGAAAATTATTGATAAAAAAACTAAAATTATAGTTAAATATATTTATCAAATTAAAGATTCTCTCTCTGACTTTTTTAAAAAGTTTGAAATTTTTCGAGGCTAGTAATAGTATCTTGTGTTGCAAATTAAAAGATTAGTCATTTAAGCGTTAATTCGGCTAACCTTGAGATTCGGAATTTTCCAACAGCTTATCGCTCGGTTGCTTTCCTTGTTGAGCGAAGGCGACAAGAGCAAGCCCCTTGTAGAGTCCGCTTCTCGTAAGGTAACCCGTTTTGCTGTCTACCAGTTTCCATATCTGAAGAAGAACAGAGAAACCGCTTTAAGAATACCGCTTCGAATGTGTCTCTTATCTATCTCATTCCTAGAGGTATTTCAATGTTAGTACTAATTTTAGTTTAATATTTATAAAATAATTTCACTTCTCTTTAAATAAAATAATTATCAGAAATACAAGAGACTGTTTTCTTCTTGAAAAATAATATGTAGCAATGGAAAAAAAAAAACAATTTTACGAGACCGAGAAAGCGCCGGCAATCACATACTTCACGTACGAATAACGGCGCAATAGTAAACTCTCTGTGAACGAAGCTTAAGGATTAGCCCATAAATGAAAGTAACTGCATTCCGGGGATTTTTCTACCTTCCCGCACCATTCCACCTCTGCTTCCATTTTCACTCACGTCTCTCCTCCTCGTACTCTCTCTTCTCTTATTTTTGCGCGACACTTTGGCTCCCTTCCTTATCCCTTTCCCCCATCCTCGTCTGAACTCAAAGAAACCACAAGATAGAATAAGCTACATAGCACGAGTGCATGCGAACTTAAGTCGAGTGTATGCAGAGACGTAAATATCAACAAAGAGGAAAGACCTCTGTCCCTTAATTTAATTGTTATAATTTAGGGAAATGCGGATATAAAACACACAATAAGGAACTGGATGTTATACTTTTAGAATCGTTGATTTGTTATTAAAATTAAACTTAATATATATATAACTTATATAGGAAGATTAATAAAAAATTTAATAAACTTATACAAGCACAGTACATAAATAATTTTATATCAAGCATACTTTGAATGGAAGATATATTTACACTAAAAATATTCCACTGATGCTTTGCAGAGAAAAATGATCTGAATAGAGAAAATGCGGTCGAAAAGAGCAGGCATCCATCTACGCCACTGCGGGCACTCCTGTTCTTTCATTGCTCCCTCTCGAGTGTCGTTAAACCTTAATCGTCGATCAAGTTTAAGCCGGGAGTAAATCCCGACAATAATAGATTCTTCATTCTAGCTACGTATGCGAACCGCGAACCGCGCGAACAAACAGCAAGAATCTGCTCGGGTCATGCGAACGCGAGTGCGTTTTTTATTGGTCGGAAGAATGTGATAGAAATCGAATAAATAAAAAGAGGTAACAAGAGCAAAATCGATAGAGATATCGATAAGAAGAAATAGAAATAGAGATATCTACAGGAAAGAGATAAAAAGAATATCAATACACATCGACGAGAAAGGAGATGTAAAAGAAAAAGCACAGAAAATTGTGTATGCTTGAAAAAAATATGTAAATTTTTGATGTGATATACAGGTACGTGGGGAATGTATACACGAAACATGTACAACACCGTGTAAAGAAATTTATGATGGAAGAGAGATAAGAGAGCGATATTATTACATTGAGAAACTCTTATCTGACGTGCGACGTTGTATATTTGTGTGCCCTGGAATGTACGTGTGCTCACGAAACTTTATCATTATCATTATAATATTATGATAAGATAAAAAAAAAAGATTAACCTGTGCCTGTTACCAAACTATTTTTTACACAAACAATAGATTACGATAACTTGATATAAATCCGTTATGTTCATCGATTATTCAGTTACATAACTGGATAAAAACTAATATTTTTTCAAACCCAAGAAAAGAACAATCATTCTATATAATATTTTTTCTTTTTTTTTTTTTGTTTGGATTTTCTTTTGTTTGGATTCTCTTTTGTTTGATTACAATTTCCATCTTCAAAAATATGAAATATTCTTTATATTTGCAAAGATATTCTTAAGAAAGACACCAGAGTGCTTTCACGCGAGAACGTGGGAGTGTATTGACATTCGAATCAATAAAGTTGGATGCGATCGCACGAATACAGAAACAAATATAATGTCTATAGGACGTACGTGAAACAAGCCCCGTGTAACGAGAGCCGTATGTTCGCCACATCACGCACCATCTCTACGTGAGATAATTATGCGCAGGCACTGAACCAGCCAACAACTCATCATCATCTCTCATTTGCGTACCTGAAGTATATAATCTGAGAAGACGATACTCAAACATCCCGCTGCGAGTTGTAATATAATAGCAACACACAATCGGGATCACATGTGTTTTGACATGACATTAAGTATCGATTTTCACAAAATTAATCGCGAGATATCAAGAAAATAATTTATTATATGTCCGATATCAATTAATACATCGCAACACGTATATTTATTTGCGATTAATTGGAAATTATTTGATATTAATTAACAATTGCGAAAACGAAGAAAATATTAAATAAAATAACGCGTTTTAGATGGGAAACGCAAAAGGAAGATTTTTGCTGCGGCGATTTTCTTTCTAACGGAATATATTTAGATATAAAAATACCATACATTGCGTGCCAATGCGGAAGACGGCAAATCAAACGATTTCACCTAACAGGAAGACGACCTGTATGTCGTACGTTAAAACATACCGGCTGCTGTTACGTTGAACTTGTTTTCAACGTGCTTCAACGTGCTTCAACGTTGGGAATGGATATTAGGGATGCCCGCGGAAGTATCAACGGTTAATCCATTCTACTTAATTAAAGCAATAAAATTATATAACCGCAGAGTAAATCATGTATGCAAAAGCCTAGAGAAAATAAAAGATACGGTTTTATTATCTTTTTTTATTTCGTATAAAAAAATGGGGAGAGATCATAAAATATTTTCATATAATATCCTCCATTATTCTAGAATAGTTTTAATAGCGGTATGCTCTCTTTCTCCCTCTCTCACATAGCAATAAATTATATTAAAAAATCGGACTTATACTGTATACCAATAAAAAATACAATAAAGAATAACATATTAGTTATACTCTTTTTTGAAATATGATTTATTTTAAATATGTCATATAAAATAGAGAGAGAGAATAATTTTCTTCAAGTAAAATAGAATTCGTCATTAGTATGAGTAAGAAACATACAATTACTCATAGCATCTTGACTATTAATTTATAAAAGTAATCGTGCATGATGGATCATAATCATCAATCATAAACGTGAACAATACAAAAAAAAAAAAAAAAAAAAAAAAAACAAACTTCTATTAATATTTCACCATACATTAATCATAATAAATACAAAAATTTTGATAGATTTAGTAATCCTTAGGTAAGAGCACGAAAATTCTAGTTATCTTCTACTGTTTTCTCTCTAATTCCTTTTCTGAACGGCAAGAAGATATTTATCCCCGAGATTTATCGTTTCTGTGCTCGTGTGTGAGATAGATACGCGATTAGTTTCGCGCGGGATATGAAAAGCTCGCGATATACTGGTAGCCTGTGTGTGATGGAACGTGTAATTTCGCACAGAGACTCTTATTGCGACGCGTGTCTCTGTCGTCTCGTACACCACATGACAAATCGTTGCGATGGATTCCTTCTCTTGCGGTCGCGAAACGTGTTCCGTACTAGAATTTACCTTAGCTTCTTCTTGTACACTTATGAGATCGAGGAGACACCGTAAGCTCCTTTGAGATTTTTTATGAACCAACTAATATACTCGCTATTAAAATATTTGCTCGGTATGAGAATGATGTAATTCGCGAGGATGAATGCGTAGATAGTATTAAGGAAAAATAATAAAACACAAAAATTATTTAAGTATTTAAAAAACGTTTTAATATGTATACAATTAATGTAACTGTAATATTATAATTATTAAGACGTTACTGAAATCAGAATAAATAATCGTTTACAATTTGTAATTTTACTACTTAGATTTAATTGATTAAATCAGCGAGCTGATGCAACGTTGTATTTATACTGTGCACGTAACGTGCAGGGGCACACGTACGAAACGAAACTTTTTACAGTAATTAAACAGTAATTTTTTAATGATCGCATCGTGATTCACGCGGCGATCGGTCGCGGGCCGGAAGTCGGCCTCTCGTAATCAAAGAAAATGCTCATCGCGCGCAGACACGGTGGTGATTTCAAGCGGCAACAACACACGCCTCGAAAGGTCCGCCTCTAAGCAGGAAACCGAGTAGTATTTCATGCAAAAAGCTATCCCCGCGGCCGACGTTCCGTTTCTGCACCCACGGTCGTACCGCGTGGGTCGATCGTTCATCGCATCATTAAAAAGTGAAAGCAACGTCGCCGGATAACTTTGGTAACGGACCGTTCGTTCGTTCCGAAGTTACGACGTCTCGATAAGGTATTATTTGATATAAAAACTTCAGACACAATGTACATTGAAACAATCTACAATCGGGATGATTTATGTTCTGCATTTTTATGCAAATACATAATAATAGCATTCTAAAATATCCTTTTGATAATTACTCGTGTTAGAGGCTATATGACGACAGTATGCATAATAATCTATAATTTATTATACATATATTATAATCTATACATACATAATCATCTTACATTATGATCCGTAAAACAGGAAGATAAAAAAAAAGTATTTTATATATAATAATATTCTATATAGTCAGGATATACCTATCAAACCAAAAGCAAAATCTCACATTAAATACATCATTATTTATTAATAAAAAATAAATATTTTTTTAGGAAAAAATATATATTTGTCTTTTTAATATTATTTTCTCTATGCTTATACCAATAATTTATCGACATTTCTGATTTTAATTTTAATGACAGATTACTGTCTTAAAGATTCACGTTGTAACTGTAGAACACCCTGTATAGCTATGCAGGAGATTGCTATGCTATTCGCGAGAATGAAACACCTCGGCGCAACCCTGCGTAATACCATTTTGATTGTGTTGTTAGTATAATGAACGAGGGACAGACACGAACGTCGCGAAACAACGTGACATATCTGGCTGTTGCGAAGCAGCACATTGATTTTTATGAGAAATCTCTGCAAAACAAGTTTTCAATTCGCGCTGTATTTCTTAGAGCTATGGATATATGATATATTTAAATTTGCGTAAATCAAGATATTTTAGAATGTCTGCATCAGATTAAATTTTAATTTCATATAATGTTATGCAGCCTATCCGAGAATATATAAATATATTAATTAAGATAAGTTAATAAAATCTTTTTACGTAAATTTTTTCTATAATATATTTACATTAATAAAAATTTTAATAAAAATTTAAATATTTTCGCCGAAATTATTCAATGCTGCCAAATAAAACTGATTTTTCAATAGATAAAAGGCGAGTAACAGGCGCTTGAGAATACGCTGGAACGTGATGTTTATGATGTTGTCGCGGGCAACAGACTGTGCGCGACAGTACGGTTGACCCTGCCACGTAATCTTGCATCATTATGAAGGGGCGTCCACGTTATCATTGACAGGCGTGTTGTCGATGATGATAAAACTTCGTTCCCGATATGGCGCCTGCGGAATGTTTTTTTTCTTTTTTTTATAGAAAATTATATATTGCCATATTGCATTGCGTAATGCAACGTTGTATAATTGACATTGATAGCAATTTTCGCAGAATTAAACTGTGAATAAATTGATTGGTCTGATGAAAAAGAAAATACACGTCTCGAACTGCGAATATTAACACTACGTAAATATGCAGATGTATTAATATTACAACAGGTTGATATTGTCGAGATGCAATATTATAATACGGATATTAAAAAACAAAAACTATCTGAGAGAGGAATATTTCTTTCAATCTATATTTTTTGCGCAAATATTGAATAGAATTATTAATGTTCTCTAAATGTCTTTTGTAATATATATATATATATGTATATATATTTTCATTTTCATATAAATCAATCTCGTTTTTTTGTAATAGACTGATATAAGATCGAGATCAGATGTAGAAGAGTTATACCTGATTGACGACGGAACCGTTTAGTTGTGACTTGACAAGGAGGGACCGAAACACCTCGAGCTTGACGTTTCCGTTGGTGGGCGAGCAAATCTTCTCGTAGACCTCTCTGTAGAACGCCGGTATAGAGCCTGGGATTTATGCAGGAGAGAAACATGAGACAGATCTCCCCAACAATTTCACCTCGCTCGCTCGCTCTCGACGGCTGTAACGAGGCCTTCGAGAGCGGCGTCCGTTCGTTTTCTGCGACCGTTCTCGTCGTTCGCGCGTGACGAAACGCAGAGTATGTATATGTATGCATGTAAGCATGTACATACATTTTTATCGATCGATTGTCCCGTAAATTAACGTGCTTTTGTTAAAAGGAACTTAGGTGACTTTCTCCGCATTTCTTACGAGAAACTACGAGCTTCTATCACTCCGGATTTCTTTCATGACAGATATTTTGTTTTGATATTATTACATTTTGAAAGCAGATTCTTTATTTAAATCACAAAACATACTAACATTACGATCATACGTATATAATTGTAAAATTATCTGACTTTAAAAATTAAATAGTTTCGATAAATTTAATTTTACAAATATACAAGATAAAATATTTTTCCATTTATTGAATATTTCTTTCAATCCATATTTTTTGCGCAAATATTGAATTGAATTATTAATGTTCTCTAAATGTTTGATCTGAAAATGTTTGAAAGCGAATTTTACTTTTAATAATTTCACTAAACATACCGTTTAGCAGATTGAATGTTATCGGAACCGCAAGTAGCGATAATATTGCATGAGACAACGATGAGTAATAAATTATTGCATGGAAAAAGTTAATCGTTTCACGCTTGGAATTTGTAATATCGCATTCCGAGACGCAATCTCAGATATACGTGCGAGTTTGTAGTTGAACACGAAGTACCAATAATATATTCAGAAACATCAATTGGTTTATTAATATCTTCGTAAATCACGTACATGGCCATTGAGATTTTCCTTGGAAAAATAAACGTCATGTTAAATGATCAAAATGCATATGTGCATTACACGACATCGGTAACACGAGAACCACTTTGTTGCAGAACTAGCATATTATCCTGTCAGTCTCAATGAGACCCACGTGTTCCTAAACGCGACGGTTCTCTCCGCGATCTGAATAACAAGAAAGACGCGAAAAGATCGTTAAATGCACGTTAAAATTATGCGGAGAACTAAAGATTTTGTGGAAAATCTTCAACTTGCCTTTTTCGACTTATCCCTGAATAAACGTTAATCGTTTGCGCGAATTTTCCTGCTCTGACATTAGATTTAAAGTTGACGTAAGCATTGCACGTCTTTTAATATATACAAAATTATGATAGAAATATTTTTTTAATTAGTGATTTTTTAATATTTATTTATATATATCTTGTGTTTTCGTTGTATGATCGTAAAAATTATGAATAATCATAAAATGAGATCTTAAGAAATAAGATGATTTTCTCGGAAAGAAAAGCGTAAAAAAAGATACTTGTGGTACATTTCTTGGTATATAATGTGACACTTTGTATCTAGTTGCGATAAATCAGAAAGAACATAAATAGAGATTCCTCTTGGGAAAGGTCACGCACGGCACGCTAGAAACTGAAACCCATGAGTACGCTTGCTGCATATTTAAGCTCGCTATCAGAGTCACTCTACGATGTGATGGACTTCTTTGTAATTATCCAACAAAATGCTTCTTTATGCCTTATTTATTTTCATTTACTTTTTAAAAGATTCACAATAACAAAATTCAAATAATTAACGTTTCGATCGGCAGCAATCGAAAGAACAAAAAAACTTTTCAATCAGATTTATATCAAAAATAATTTTCATTCAAAAAATAAAAAAAATATATACATATAATTTTTTTCATATAAATCAATCTTTTTCTTTTGTAATATATATATATATATGTATATATATTTTCATTTTCATATAAATCAATCTCGTTTTTTTGTAATAGACTGATATAAGATCGAGATCAGATGTAGAAGAGTTATACCTGATTGACGACGGAACCGTTTAGTTGTGACTTGACAAGGAGGGACCGAAACACCTCGAGCTTGACGTTTCCGTTGGTGGGCGAGCAAATCTTCTCGTAGACCTCTCTGTAGAACGCCGGTATAGAGCCTGAGATTTATGCAGGAGAGAAACATGAGACAGATCTCCCCAACAATTTCACCTCGCTCGCTCGCTCTCGACGGCTGTAACGAGGCCTTCGAGAGCGGCGTCCGTTCGTTTTCTGCGACCGTTCTCGTCGTTCGCGCGTGACGAAACGCAGAGTATGTATATGTATGCATGTAAGCATGTACATACATTTTTATCGATCGATTGTCCCGTAAATTAACGTGCTTTTGTTAAAAGGAACTTAGGTGACTTTCTCCGCATTTCTTACGAGAAACTACGAGCTTCTATCACTCCGGATTTCTTTCATGACAGATATTTTGTTTTGATATTATTACATTTTGAAAGCAGATTCTTTATTTAAATCACAAAACATACTAACATTACGATCATACGTATATAATTGTAAAATTATCTGACTTTAAAAATTAAATAGTTTCGATAAATTTAACTTTACAAATATACAAGATAAAATATTTTTCCATTTATTTACTGTGTTGTTCAATAAAATCTTCAATCATTAATATTTGTAATGAATCCATATGTTGCGAAAAAAATAACATAATGAAATTTTTGTCAAGGTAAAGTCATCTCCAAAGTATTTACGAAACACCTTGTACATTATTAGCTGGTGTTAACATAGATACGCTGAATTCGTGACATAACTTCCTTTAAACATCAATTATATTTTAGTAACATCATCCCATCATCTTAAAATTTAAAGCGTGTCATATCTAAGCGGTAAAAAAGAACTTTCCTTGCATACGGTTATTAAAACGGTACGGAAATCAGATAGGACTAGACACGCGCGTCGTTACCGTTATTACCGTTGACTACCGGCCACGTATATGTCATTACAACGTGGATGTCAGTCAAAGTGTCGTGTAAAGATCAGCTGATTACCGACGAACACGAAGACGTATCTTTAACACGCAACTCTAAGAGCGAAAAAGAAAAACTATATATCCGGTAGCGAAATTTTCGTTCTCGACGAACGAGAGACATCCGCCCCGTCCTATATTCTAATTGCACTGATAAGAAGATCGGGGTACATCCGGGAGGGACGAGCCGACCGCGTTTCCGAGCGGCGAGATTCGCGGATCAGCCGACGAATGCTCTCGACGAGAACCGGTCGACCTCGCCGGGAGACCTTGTCGCGAACTGTTACGGGGCCCCCTTGCTCATCATTTACCGAACGACAGATCGGTCGACGCCATGTTGGATCATCCGTGGATCATCCGTGCGGGATCGGCGATGAGGAAGTCGACGATTGTCGTAAGCGGCGATCGCGATGGACGGAGACGCGTTTTAAGGTTAGAGTCCCGTTCCGGGCACACTGTCGTGCGCGGGCGCGTCAAGGACTTTGAAATTGCGCGCACTCGCACTCACACTCGCGAGCAAACTACGTTACGACACGTCGACGATGAAACGTTTATGCGCGGCGTCACATGAAAAGTAACGACTCACGAACATACACCATCGCCGTATCGCGCAATACTGACGACCGACGAACAGGAACAGGGACAGGGGATGTAAAGCTAGAATGGAGACTCTGACTTCGGCTAGCTTCGGATAGCAGAAGAGGAGAGGTATACTGTTTTCTGTCTCCTTCCTACCAAGCCGGCAACGAAGTATAAAACTCGTATAAATGTTATATAATACAAAAAGAGGCTATAAAAAAAACATTTAACGCTATCACGCGTATCAAAAAGCGCGTGAGAAGCATAGCCCGTTGCCTTCGTTGTCGGTTTGGTAGGAAAGTGACAGCTGACAACAGGTGACAGAAACATTATATCTGTCCTCTTCTGCTATCCGAGGCTAGCCGAAGCGCCGAGCTCACATGTCCGGTTTTACGCTTGTGTACGTTATCCCCTCCACTACGGTTGCTTGAGTCTTCATTCTGGCATCATGAATGGAAAATGAAATGCCGAGTCGCGATCGCGGCGCAGCATCTGCGATTTATTGTAAAATATCAATCACTTTTTCAATTAATATATACTTTTAATTATTTTTTATTATTTTATTAGAGTTTTAATTTTTTACTTTTTATTATTTTTTTTTACTTTTATTATTTTTAAGTAAAAAACACGAATAATAATTTGATAACTGCATTTATTTTTCTTCCGAAATCGATTAATCTCCTAAGAGTCTATATTGACTTTACGATTTAAAATAAGTGAATTATATTATACAAAATTATTTTTTTTTGCTATCTTATTAAAATTTTCTTGTAGCTTATCAAATAGTTGAAAATGATAAAAATATATTTGACACATGTTTAACCTGTGATCTATCCTGCATAATTTATGTATCTTATATATTATATGTAGATTACATCGAAGAACAGTCGGATTATTTTGAGATTAATTTTCCTCCAATTCTCCAAGCGGAAACGGTTTTGGCGACGGTTTTTCATATTTAGATTCATAAATCTCCTTTCGCAGTTCCTCCGATGTTTGTTTATCTAGCGACTCGATTAGTCGTATCTTCTGCGCTATCTCTTGCTGTATTATGGGCCGATATTTCTTTCCCATTCCGAGATTTTCCATGTCGTGCAGAAAATCCATCCTCTCTCGAATCCCTTGTACTACTACGAGAAGCAAAGCAATACAAATGCATATTTGTGTCGACAATGCTGCAAGGGACATGCGTTACAAAAATCTATTTTAAATTTGGAAAACTCCATCTTTTTTTGTAAAATTGTTTATCATGAATGGCTGGCAATGTTAAAAGGAGCAAACTTCTGTTACGTATACCCTTTTTAAATATTTAGGTATATCGTTCTATGCATCTGTATGATAAAACTTACATTCGTTTAGAACATCCGCATTTTCAGGTATTTGTGGCTCTCGTCTAATTTTATGAAGGATTTTGGGACCATGAGGCGTCTCTGGCATATCTTTCCCATAAGCCATCATGCATGCCAAGTGACGTTTCTGTTTTTCCATGTTGGCTAATCGTGTAAAATGTATATGTCATTTAATGCACCATTCATTTATGATTACTAAAGTATATTGTATTATTATCATTATTGATTACTAAAGAATTATTTATAATTTTTACGTAAAGGCATTGTCCTCCTGTATTGTTCTCTCTCGTAAGCACCGCTGCTTATAATTGTGTCCTGTGAACGTCTCCTCCATGAAATAGACGATTTAACCTATCGGAATTTCTCGAAGAATTTCTTTACAGCGTCACAATATTTACTCGATTATCTTCGATCTTATCTTTGTTTTTCTTCGTCCTTTCAATAGAAGACGGTAAGGATTCGCCCTTGTCGACTGCTTCCTGGATCGTCTTCCTTTGCAACATTGTTAGCTTAGATTCCTCCATTAAAACTAACATTTAAAATATTCAGATATTAAACGCATGTTTTTAAATTATAAATGTATATTGCAGAAAAAAAACTAGATCTTTTAATTCCGATTAAAACGACGAATAAAATATTTTCTATATTTAAAGTATCGACCGAATATGTTGATTACTATTTACTTACGCTTAATAAGATTTCTGGTTTCCTCGCTATATTTTGCTCTTGGAGGATTGTGAAAAGCACCCACGCCTAAACCGACTCTCTGATACTTTCGATCCATTGATTTAAAATCGTAAATTCTCAAAAGAAAAATATGCGCGATTATATTAATGTGTCAAACGGACTGTCACACGAGTGGCAGCGATAATCACGCATGTCCATCCACCTGCTGACTGTAATATAACATCGGGAGTATCCGTCGCGTTTCTATGACTACTCAGAAAGATGACTCAACTCGATCGAACTAACTTTTAAATTGGAATTCGAGATTCCAGCCTATTATCTACCTACGAGCAGATCTAATAATCTCGACGGAGATTCGCAGATTATTCCATCCGCAATCAAAATGATTAAATTTATATAGATTTCGTAATACAATAGTTGTTAATTATGATCTTTTAAATATGTAAATTCTTGAGATCTTATTAGATTTTGGAAATTGGAAGTTTGGTATTTTTTTTTATTAAGTTTTGATGTCTTAGGATATTTAGATATAAAAATCTAGAAATTTTTGTTTTGTGAGTGAATTCATAAGACTTTTAATAATATTAAATTTTCTGAAATTTTTAGATCTCATAAATTTTCAAAAGCTCTTAAATATTAAAATAATACATAATGATATAATTATCATTTAAAATTTATTATAATTTATAACTCACACTCTTATTTCCTTCTTTAGTTTAGTTTCTTGTTTTAAAAATAGTCCTAAAAAAATCAATTAAAATTACAATTAATCAATGTTTTCGAATTATTGCTCAATTTATTAGTTTTAAGATAAATATGCTGATATAACTCGGAATTACACACAAAATTAATTGATCATCTACGAATATGGAATAACGGAATAAAGTGTTCTCTGCTATTGATCTTAATTAAATACGACTAAAAATTAAATTAGCAGATTAAAAGAAAAATAATAAACTCAACAAAGTCATCAGGTTGATCGACATCTACGCATATAAACAAACAATGATCAATTCAGAGCGGATTGATCACCTTGAAGGATGCGCGTGTGCGTGTATTGTGGCGCGTGCGCGTTTGTCGGGTAGCTTACTGACAGGGGTTCGTTTTCGCCCCTTGTTCCCTTTTCGTTCGACATAGTAACCCTCGCGTTTTGTTCAAGCATACCGACCCTGAAATCTCGCAGTTTTTCGAATACGCGAAAAATCTTCGCGAAGATTTCCGACAAAGTTGTCGCGCTGCGGATCCCGTGTTTCGTTTCCGCAGTGCAAACCAGCGAAAATTATTGATTTCCCTTCATAAGCGGAGGGTGTTCGACAATTTGCTGAACGCTATTCGGAGCACACCTGCTGCGAAGGTAAACGGCGACGTGTTTCACCTACTTTCGTCATCACTGCAACTCTCGATCAAGGCTGTGTCATACAAGAATTGTCAAGAGGTGGCAAGATCGAATTGTCTGATAGATTGTTAATTAATTAGTAAACTTATCGGTGAGCACGTTAGTTTAATCTAGAATTTTGTTAGCGTTACTTTGTGGTGTTTTATTTATAGGATGTGCGTTCGTTTGTTAAAGAGCATAATTTGCAATACAATCTCGCTTCGGTATAATATCTGCAAAACGCGCGAATGCTTTATTATATTAGTAAAAGGTTTTCCTTGAAAAATTTATGTATTTCATTAAATTTTAATAATGCGTACTTATATGTGTCATGTGTATTACTATAAAAATAATTTGCATAAATTATGTATATATATATCAATTTCTAATCTTTTTAGGAATATTTACAAAAATAATATATAATCTGCGTTAATTTTCAAAAGCAAAGATGAAGATCGGATTATTGAAAAACTTTTTGCACTACTTCAACTTAAGGCAGGGAACAATATTAATTGCCATATTTCAATTGGTAACAGCAATCTCTATGAAATGTCTAACATCTCCCGAACAATTATTCTTCACTGAATATAATTGTAAAAAATATTACAGTTTTCGTCGGGATTCAGTATGATATTTTTCATTCTGGCGCTAGCACATGCAATGGGGATTAAAGAAATGGTGGTAAGAGATACCGAAGATGCTCTCGAAAGAGAGGCTTTGGAGGAAATATCGTCGAATCATCTCAACACCAAAAAAATGGATCTGGCACATCATAACGCAATTGGTATACATTGCAAAAATATTCACACAAGAGATAAAAATTATTGCATGACAACAGCAAAACAAACATTACTTTTTTTTTTATTACATAACTTTTGAAAAGACAATTTTATATATTTGCAGAAATGGTATATGCAATGTATTGTGGCCTTGTCATAACTGTTATTCACTTCATCTCCACCATGTTACTTCTCTATGGAGCTTTGACGGTATATATATATATATATATAATTGAAATCACTTAAAAGATTATTTTAAAACTCATTCTTTTCTTGTATTCTATATATTCCATTTTTTAGAATAATCCTCCTTTTATGGCGCCTTGGATGATGGTCAAAATCACTATCATATCGGCTCTAACAATCTCACTATTTCTGGTAGAGGAGGACTGTCCTTTCCTCGCCACTTTAGGCGGGAGAGCGGGCATTTGCGAACGTACGTTAAAATTATAAATTATATAAGATGCCTCAAAAATTGTCGTACTTATGTTATTAATACAGTAAATCTTTTTGATTACATTTTTATCAATTTTTCTTCAACAAAGATTTAACTGATATTCTTCATAACAATTTTAGAATATTATAAGGTCGCATAAAACATAAATTTTAGAACAAGTTATTTCATATCATTGCACTTACTGAAGCATCTTATATTAATGTTATTTTTTCATGTTAAATATGTTAGCCATGTTTTTTATTGAAGAAGGATAAAATATTTGCAGGTCTTATCGCCTTTTTCCTAATAATTATGAGCTTTTACGTTTGGTTCGTCGTGTACAGTACTTATAAAAGTCTCGAGACAAAACAAGGACTCACACACGAAGTGCACAGTATGAAAAAAAAGTACGCGGTTCCTGTAACACTGGAGGTACCAAAAGCAATCCAGGTTTCGGCGAACAAACCCTACGAGCTTTAAAAATATTATGAGGATAGAGCAATAAAGAATTCGTTGGACGAGAAAAACTATGACTTCATAAAGACGCGAAATTTAATCGCGAATAGTTCTCCATGGCATGCATTTTCAAGAGAAAATCATATGCTTTGAAAGAAATCGTGAAATTGGGACAGCAATTTAGAGATGATTGCAGAATCGCAAAAGAAAAGTGCATTATGTTGTAAATGAAAAATTAATTAACAGCGCGGATACAGAAAGTTTCGTAATAAAATGTATATTCGATGTAGGACTTGAAGATAATTGAAAAAATATTACTGTACAAAACTCGATAATTTCTGCAAAGGACATGCTTCTTATATTTAAATGTTTCTTCTTGTTCTTGCCTTGTTAAAGTTACGCGCTTCTTTACATTTGTGTGTTAAGACGGTTCTTTATCCGACGCACACACACACAGATGATAGTGTCGTTATACTTAAATCATTTAATCGAAAAACTGCATATCCACTATACGCACATGTATGACACATGTAAGTTCTGAATTTTCACCCGTCAGGATTCTGATAGATAAAATAATCGCGACTTCAAGATTAATCTCACTGCTATACGCACTTCTGCGCACTTCTTTTCGCGCGCAAGACTGAATTTAATTTTTTAACATAATGCGAAATATTCTCAAAGATTTTCGCAATAGTTCTTGACAATGTGAAAAAAACTTTACAAATTATAGATTAATTTACTAAAGAAATAACGGTAGGACTCCGCGAGTCATGGCATATATATATATATATATATAATTAGTTTTATTTCATATTTGAACCCAACTTCTTTGTGAAATTACAACTTTGTTATTTGCGGCAATATCCGTATGATACAAAGATTGTAGGGTCACTTCTTGTGTATATGTATATTAAATGTGTATGGAAAAACGTAAAAATAAAAATTACAATACATTCCAGTACGATACATATATGTATAATGTGTATATGATATGATTCGGCTATAAAACGAAGACATGTTTATTTAATCGCCAAAAATAATACCTCCCGGTTATAAAATCAATTTTTGCTTCGATTGTAAAATCGTAATTTAGCCTTTGCTTTTTCAATTTCTCGAGCAAGCGAGTTTAAATCCTTATCATATATCAAAAGCCAAATAGACGATTTCATAAAAATGTTGTTCTATCTCGCTCACTCTCATTTTTATTTTTTTCATTCAGGCGAACTATCGATAAAATTGATAGGACTAGAGATTAATTTCTAAATTATAAACAAGTTCAAGCCCCGATTATAACGGCCGATCCCGAGAGTTACGATTCTATAACCGGAGAATGCAGTATTTATAACAATAATTTATTTAAAACTGTTAAAGGGAGTAGAGATTTATATATCATTTTTATATAATATATAACGTGTTTATATATAACGAAAAAATTTGTAGAGCTAGAGAAACACAAAATCGATAAGGATACACGATTGCATTGCAAAGCTTTTACTGCATAGCTACAGAAAATGATTATTTCTTTTTTGCCACAATGATATTTATGGCCAACATTCGCTTTAGCTATAGTTGCAGCAGCATTCTTATCTAAACTGTAAGAAAAAATGTGAGTATCACGTCAACAAGTAACTTGCGGTGTCCCTTGTGTTATACCTGGGGTATATTCCTTCTGTTTTTTCTTTTTATATTTAAAAATTTGCTCTTCTATTAATAGGCGTCAGGTTGAATAGGCTCGTGTAACAGATTTATGACATAATGTCCATTAACACATTTTGCGATATTCGCATCGATAATCTTTCTTTTTTTTCCTCTTTTTCTTTTTCAAAAAGTCACGCAATACATCAACGATCGGTATCACCAACAATTAATTAGAACTCTTTATTTGGTCCTCTATCATAACATCCGATATGGACGTTACTTTTTCTATGCACAGTCCACATATTGCAATCTCAATGAGCGCAATGTACCTTCGCCATACTCGCCCATTTTTATTAACTGATATAAATAAAAATAACGAAGGAACACGACGATAGTCATCACTCGTCGTACGATTGGGAATTCACCGCCATTATCGTCCTCCAATCACGCTTTGTCGTCGGTCAATTCGAGAAACTGTGCATAAAAGTCTCTCGTGCATTCACCCTTGTTGTTGAATACAAACTTGTAATAACTACCGTCCGCGCATATCACTGCATAAGGGATCGTAAACGTAAGAAATATTGCTATATACATGGTAATCACATATTTCGAATTCACAGCTTACCTATAATGCTATTGTTATCTTGACCAAACGCGCACATGCATTGCGGACCGCTCGGTACTTGAAATTTGCAGAAACTCCAACTCGAGCTAAAGTACTTTGGCAAAAACGTGGCGGACGCTAAACTAGATTGGCGATTCAGTTTTTGATCTTCGACGGCGAATACGTGTACGGTTCCATGATCACTGGCAACGCAGAGCCACGTAGAATCGTGATTGAAGTTTATGCTAAAATAAAGTATGTGCATACATCATACAATGGATATTTAGCATTGCTGCATACATATATATTTTATCCATCACATCTCCTTTTGCACTTACCAATAGATATTTGCATGATTTGCTCCTCTTCTTAATTCATTAATCATGTTACCATTTTGGGTATCAAATACTCTTATCAGAGTACCCTTCTCAGAGGCAGTAGCCAATCTAGTGCCTTGCAGGTTTAAAGCTATGCAAGATAAAGGCGTTTCATGTGCTTCTATATTTAAAGGTTGCTTCTCCGTATTAGCCAGATCTATAACTGAAACGTAAATCTCGGTGTTATATAACACATGTAAAGAGCATTAATTATTTTTTTGTAACGATTCTTACCTTGAACATGGCCATTTTTTCTTCCAGGAAAGGCGAGCAAAGAATTGTTACTATTTGGACATAGAACACACAATCCTCGCGGATTAGGATTAGTTTCAAATACGTGCAACTGTTGGGGATTTTGCGTAAATGTGTAAACTTTTATAACACCTTCTAATACTACTACTATCCTGTCCCTCCGCAATTTTACTCCTTTTACAGATGCATTAAATTCTAAAGTGATTGCTGGCAATTTTTTTATATCATCCCATATCATAACTGCAATTACAAAATATAAATGATATCTCTTTACAACAATATTTATAATATATGTACAAAAAGTAAAACTCAACCTTTATTTGTTGGATACATTGGCTTTGCTCCACCACCAACTAGCGCTAAATAATTACATCTGAAAAGCATTTCTACATATCCGAGACCTCCGTCACTAAAATCATGTCTTTCTTTCTCCTTCAATGGGTCACAATTGTATACTCTGAATCCATTCTCCATACCACAGGCAAAGCATCCTGCAAATGCGTGAACAAGACTGATATTTTTATCTGCTTATATACATCCTTTTTCTTAGCAATATTAATTAGTATTTACAGTATGTACATATTAACACAAACACATAAAATGACTGGATATGATAAACTCACACATGTAATGTGATATCATGAACATGAAATATATAATCACACGCAACATACAAATATATATGACATGATTTTCAAAATGGAAAGGAAATATTGATGAGCATATTGAATAATTTTATTATATTTTTTATATTTTCTCTTTTACAAAAATTAGAATAAAATAGTTTATTGATAAAAGTAGATGATCGATACGAGTCCAAATCTATATGTGTACCGAGTGACATTTCGATGTTGATAGAGATTGTTGACATTTTTTCCGCGATCAAGAAGAATCGCAATAAATTAACTGACAAACAAAATTACGATCCACGGGCGTGCAAGAACGAGGTTAGAAATGACGAATACCGTTACAATTTGCAACATTGAATTATTCCTGCGAACACGATCGCGAGGCTGTAAAGCGCGACGTTAGGACGTTAGAATCCTGGCGTTAAATATCTCGTCGCGGTCGCGTTGATATTCATATCGGCGACGTAAACATCTTGCGCGTTACGCTAATGAGGTTAGACGCGGAAACGAAGCGGATCTGACAATGCGTGGGATAAACGCGCGCTGTCAAACATACGCGCGTGGAATCGCGTGCGACGTACCTTGGTCCTGATTGAAGCCGGCGTAGAGCAAGCCGTTGCCATGCGGGTTTCCCGCGGTCAGGTTCATCGTAGATCGCTCCGATGACAAAAAAACATTCGGATCCAAATAAAATCTCGCGCTCGCGTCGCGGGTCGCGGCACTCAATCACATCCTCGCCGGTTAGCCGCAGATGCTTTTCTCCATCTGCCGCTACGAGCGCAGTCGAGAATATCTGTATGTATGCGTCTATGTATGTATACATAAATACATGCACTTGATATCTAGTACTTTTATCGAGTCAATGACATCGCGCATAAATATTTGTATATCAAGATTGTTGAGTAAATAAAAGCGAAATTATTTTATTTAATATTTGATAATCTATTATCTAATCATTGATTTGTATCACATATCTTAAATCATTTAAATGTCTCTGATACTGACAGCGAAAAGACTGAGAGGGATCATATACCGCCGTTTTTCATAAGACGATTTTTCTAGCTGGTTTTACCAACTAGAAAAGTCTAGTAGCGTCAACTAGATCCACTTTAGAGCCGGCGAAACTGCATGGCCAGATTCACTTTTCGGTGCCACGGTAAAACAGCCGATTTTGGTACATGTCCGATTTACAGTAAATTTCTTTCGCTTTTTTCTTATTCTTGGAACAAAAAAGCATCAAGTATCAAGCATTTTAGTAATAAGTAAAATATGCTTTTAAATTATATAGCTTTTTATTATTAATTTATTATTAATTTAATATTAAATATTAAAATTATACGTAGGAGGTATTTTTAAGTTTTTTAAAGTGTTATTTAGAGATCTCTTAGACAAAGTTTTCACCAACTTGCATAATACTTTGTAATTCACAATTCAACTCTCGTCTTGTGGGAAATAGTAATCTCGTTCATGAGATCGAAGTAACGATCACGCTCAAGAACGTGGAAAGAATCCACTGTTCGTAATATACGAGATGTAAGAAAATATTGTATGTGCATACAATTGATATAATTAGATATGCAAAAATCACGTGTACTTTTTAAGATACTTTTACTTATTATAAATATTTCAACGAGATATCATTTAATGCTGCTTAATAAACTTGGTACTTCTGATGCAAGAAAAAAATCAAACTATTTAATTTTTTATTGCAGATATCTTTTACATCATATATAGAATTTATTTTATTAAACAACTAATAAATATTATTAAAGTATTAATCAAAGTAAATTCTAATATTTTATTTAAAGAGAATTGTTTCGTTCTCTAAACTTGCGCGAAGACAGTTTTATATTCATTTCGATGAGATTGTTCTCTCGATTTGTTAATATCAATTTGAATTTTTTAATCATCTCTAGAGTAATTGGTAACTTATGAATTAAAATTAATATTATTACTTTTTAAACTTCTAAAAATTTTTTTAGAAATTACATTTAAGAGAAATCAAGTATTGAAGAATATTTTTAAATTTAATATTTCGATGTTTTAAAACATTCCATGCAATCTACATGTAAAAAAAATTATTTTGTAAAATTATTTACAATGAGATTTATATGAGAAATTTAATAATTAATAATTATTATGTTTTGGCTTGAATGACTCAAAGCAAGATCAAATTCCGTCATAAATATTTTTGAATGCAGTACCACAGATGAGATGGCATTCGTCGTTTATGATCATCACCGATCGTCGATCGCGTATCGTATAACAGTCGGAAATTAAATGACAAAATATGCATGTGCGCAAGAAGTGAACATCAAAGCAATTGAAAATATTTTAATATAAGAGAGACAGAAAGAGAAAAATATGATATTGAATATATTTATATGGATTTATAATTTTTTGAATTTTCTGTCTCTCCAATAAGATGTATAAATACTGGTTATTTACAAGAAAACTAAATGTTATTTTACTTAATTCACATAGTTCGCGTGATGATCATATATGGATTTTTAATCAGCCGTGCTTGATTAAAATGTCTCTCATGAACGCGTAACTTTCTTCTTAAGAAATTGTAAAAAATTCTGTTCGTCTTCCTACGTGAATCGCGCTCAACGCAACCCTTCAATTTCTTTAATTGAGATTATCCGATTTGAAAAGCTACGATTGCGGTGACACAATAAAATGGCACTTTATTCTAAGGGTTTTATTACCATTAGAGTCTCTTAATAATTGCCTGATTCAAATTAAATTGTTCGAGTACCGTCTGTCTCATTAGCATATGGCGAGCCTAGCGCGGCAATTGAAATTATTCAGAAATCCAGAAGTCCCCAAAGAGCATAGGTAATCTTGCGAGCGAATAACTTGGTGGCAGTAACATGTGCGCTTTACGAGTAATTGCACATATACATATATGTAGAGTGTGTATGTGTGTACATACATATGTATAAAGACCGATAAACGTATGTGCGGATGTATATAAAGATCGATCGCGAATTCACTCTTACAAAAGGCATATTAAATCGATACTTGAATATATTAAAATTTCCTCGAAAGTCTCAAAATTTATTGTTGCCTCAAAAAGAAAGGACAAATGACTTGTATCGCGATACGCAAAAAAACGGATTTATATATATATATATAT